GGAATGCAATAAAGTTCATCAGGATAAGCTCTCCCTTGAAGGAATGCCCCACTCACGTCGCCCTTCATAATCCTCCATCTTCTATTAGCGGCCAGTTGCAATAATAATTGCCTCGTCTGTCTCGTCATTACGGGTGCCGTGGTTGCTCTATGTTCGTATGAAGGGTCTTGGTATCCGAGCAGCACTGCTCGGGCTTTCGCCTTGGGTTGCCCTGAATCTTGCATTTTCCAAGTCAGTATCCATCGCATCCCAACGGCCTGATCCCTATTCGGTTTCAGCGTTTCTGGCAATGCTTCAAACGCTTCGGCTGCCAGGAAATTCTTTACCTCCACCAATTTGGCAGCGGCAAACTGCTCGCGTTCCTGGGCTGTCAGTCGTCGTTCGGATACTTCCACAGCCCTGCGTTTCAGGGCACTGGCCAGATAGGCTCCCAAGTCACGAGTGGCGTGATTGAAGTTCTTGGTCCCTTGTGGCAAGTCCACTTCCACTGCGACGGCTGCCTGTTGGTCCGTCCAATAGGAAGACTCTGAGGCTTGCCACGATGCCTCAGGTATCTCGTTCCACCAGCAGTAGCCTCGTTCGATCTCGGTCCTCCGATTTCCGCGGGAGGACGTGGCACCACCTCTCACGAAATTTATAGGATCCGTCTCGGGCTCCCGCACGTAGAGCTCGTCCATGCCTTCCTCGTCGATCTCAGCCTCTTCGCTTGTGGGCGGAGGCCGTTTCCGCGAAACACGGTACCGTGTCGGTGCCACTTCTTGGGACACGTCTTGTGCCCGCTGCCACTCGGTGTCGTCAGGCACCTCGCTGCTGATGTCCTCAAACTGGTTGCCCCCTAGCTCTTGCGTCAGCCGGCTAAAGGTCCAAGGTGTTCCTTGGTCCTCCGACAGCGCCTCCACTAGCTCCTCCCTTTGGCTCGCGGGCCGAAGCTGTTCCGGGCTGCACTTGATCAACTGGCGTCCTCTGACGCACCACACTGCATGGCTAGGGCGCTGCTCGCCCTCCGAAGTCCTCCTGGGCTCCATCGCCAGGATGCGTGCAGGGCCGAGGAATCGGCCTTGCTTCGTGCCTGGGCTCCTTTTCCCTTGTCCTGACTCCTGCGTGCGCCAGAAATACACCAAGTCCCCTGGCTGGTACTGTTGCAGCGGCCTCGTCCGGGAATTGAGGGCCCGTGTCACTCTCTGTTGAGCGGTCCAATCAGCTAAGGCCTTCTCTGCCTCAGCGCGCAATTGCGCTTCCCGTCGCATTTCTGCGACCGAATTGTTCAGGATGGACTCCTCAAGCACCGCTCTAGTCGCTGCCACGTGTCGGCCTGTCTGGTCTGGGCTGTGTCCTAACACATGCTGAGTCGGCGAAAAACCCCGCACCATCTCTCTCTGGTTGAACGTGCTCACTGCTATGCTCAGGCACTCATCTGCTGTAACCTCGGGATCGGTTTCCGCCAATTTACTCATCAGCTGTTTCAAACCTTGCACTGCTTGCTCGGTGGCCCCGATTTGCCAGTGAGCTTCCCCCGGGATAATGTCAAGAAAAATGCCATGGCGATCACAGAAACTTGACATGTGTTCCCCGCGAAAGCTCCCTGCCGGATCGAGCCTCAGGGTCTTCGGTTTGCCAAAGATCTGAAACCATCCTTCACTCATGTAGTTCGTGCACAACGGTCCACTCGGGGTTTGCTTCTGGCCTCTCGTGAGAACCCTGGCAATCCGAAAACGAGACCCTTCATCCATCACCACCATGAAATTCTGATGTTCGTGGGTTTTCGGGTGCATCCAATGTCCTATATCCGCCGAGATCGTATGAAACTTTGGGGGCAGGGGTTCAAGGGATGCCACTTGTCGTGGCTGTACCTTGCTTTTCTCCTGGCAGATAGAGCAGGTAAACTCCTTGGCCAGTTGGATCACTAGCGGTTTCGCGTTGCGCCTCTTCAAGGCATCTACCATATGTCGTACACTGCCATGTCCCGTTGCCGCATGAAGGAGGTACAGTTTCCGTTTTATGGCTTCGTGTTCTTTGTTGCCGTGATTCTTAAGGGGACCTGTCCATGGGCCTCGTGCCTTGATCACCATGGCCTCATCCTTCCGATTCGCCACTGGAGTCTCAAACCCGAATCTCCGAATAAGCCCCTGAACTTCCGAAGACACCTTGTCCCAACCACGACTCACAAAAGCACTTAACACAACTCGATTGCCGTGCCAAGCCTCGGTTGCATGCCACTGTTTGGCATCGAACTGCACCATCTTGTGACTCGTTTCGCGCACGTGTCCCAGGACCGAACGCCCGTTGGGCAACTCCTGGGCACGGGTCTCTTGACGGCTGTTCTGGGGTGGGCCTTCGATCCAAAGGCCACCCTTTTGGTACGCCGTAACTCCTATCAGGTGGTTGAGGTGTCCGGGTTTGTTGTGGTGGTCCTTATGGAGTCGCAGGGTTCCGTTATCGTTGAGAACAAAAGAAGTACAAATCACGGGACCCTTGTTCCAATGTTGCATATATGACAACAGATACCTACACACCTGGGGAAATCTCAAGGTGCACTTCGTCACTCCGTAGTGGTTACCAGACGCGTACAAGCCGAAAGTCAGATACCTCACACGGTCTTCTTCAATAACTCCTCTGTGTGTCTTTTGCTTGTTGTGGGGCAGCATCTGTATCAATTGTTCACAGAACTTGTGTTGGTACTGTTGTTTCTGAAGGAGGTCCTGGGCCTTTTCTTCCGCTTCAAGAACCTGGGCTTCTGAAAACACCTCCCTTCCAATGCTACCAACCACGTAGGCATCACCGGACACATCTCCCTCATAGCCCTGCATCTCAACACCTTCCTGACACAGTTCATCATCCAAAGCACCATCATCCGTCATCTGGGCCTGGGCCTCCTGAACCTGAAGCTGGTTACGACCCTTTAAACAATTCGCACATTCCTGGGGGACCTTGGGGAGACACACCTCACCACACGTGCAGAACTCTCCCTCTCCAAACCCGGTCACTAGAGCGGTGTGCCCTGCGCACTCCCGGAGCGTGGCGTTATGCGACAGTTCCTGATTAAGGCTTCGGGCTATTCTTCGGGCATACTCCTTCGTCGGGTTCAGGTCACCTTGCTTGGGGCCTCCTACACACAACCCATGCTTGTAGTGCTTTGGGCAACGACAACACAGATTTAAGCTTTCGGACAGTTGTTTGTGGGTCGTGAGGATCCGCCAGCCCTGCTGCACCAGAGCCTTTTCAGGCCCGCTCCTTCGGTTCACAGCACAACCCTTGGTAACTGCTGAATACATCTGATACTTATCACGAAGCTGATTCACCAATGGTAGCCTCCAGGCCTGACTTCGCTCTGGCATCTCCCAACTAACGTGAATCCCCAACTGAACACACAGATGCACTACACAGGCGCAGGCCACATACCGTCGAAGCGCCTCTGCTCGCTTCCTCTGAAGTTCGTCTCGCTGTGCCTCCGTCTGTTGTTGCATATTGTTCAGGGGGCTGTAAGCGCCGGCGGGAGGAACGAGCCACACGTGTTGAGGTTGTTCCATGCGAATGCGATCTAGAAGTAACCTTAGTCCCTCCTTAGTCAGCAAATCGCAGCCGTTCCACGGCCCACAATGCACTGCCGCGTCTGAGCTTTTTGCTTGCTCTTGCACCGCCTGGGAAAGTATGGTGTCTGGTCTTTCACTGTACTGTAGCAGAGTAGGACGATCATATCCCACCAGGTCTTGGAACAAACTCGGCACAACAGACAAGGCTTTGGCTTCGAGGCTCCGGGCTTGTTGTTCACTCAACACTTCATGTGGCACTCGCCCTGACCTAAGCTGCTGGCTAAGGGCCTGGGACGCACTAAGAGTTTCACCTGGTTCCTCGTCCTCTGCTGTGCCGATTGTCTCGGCCATCACTCCCGGGGCGTCACTGCCTTGGTCGGGGGTGTGTTGATCTTGAAAAACGACGTGTCGGACTGGGCCCCCTCGGACATCTCGGCATCCGGCAAGGCACGACCGCCTTGCTTTCGAACCTTCTCGCCCTTCAACTCGCGCAGCTCCGCCTTGATGTCGGAGAGGATCTCCGCCATGGCCTCGATCTTGCGGTCCTGGGCCTCCACCTGGTCGCTGCTGCTGCTCGCCATCGATGGGGACACACGTGGCCCCGTCGGAGAAACATAGCCTCTTGTCGTCTTCGTAGGGGTCGCCTTTGGCGTCACCATCTTGGTCATCTTCGCACGGCCCTCGAGGTCCTGCTTCCCCAACCATCGCGCGAGCCGGTAGAGGCGGGGGTCGCATCCCGTCGTCGGATTCTCCTTGGCCGTTGTGACTACCCACTGCGCGTAGTTCTCGTGCTCGGTCGCCAGCATGTCCTTGTACTGGAGATGCCCATTCTTGCCGAAGCCGATGGCATCCTCGGCCTCCGGCTCGTAGGTATCGTAGATCACCTTCATCACTCGCGCCTCCAAAATCGCTATGGTATCGTTGCGCCCCACCGTCATCTTGTACTGCTCCTCGCACAACTTGACCAGGTCCACCTTTTTCTTCGCGGCCTTGTGGACCTCGCGGATGGCTTGCTGGGTCGCCGTGAGCGTCGTGCCCCGGTGAAGGTCCTCCACATTCACGTTGTGAAGTTCCAGCAAGCGCTGGCGGATTTCGGCTTTCGTCCACTTGGTGTAGGCATGCTCGTGGAACTCCTCGTACAAGTAGTTCTTGAGCTGCTCCTTCGTCATGTTGTTGAGCTTGGTGAGGTTGACGGCCATGTTGCAAACCACAAACTCGTGGAGGTGCAGCTGGGGAGGCGATCACTTGACACGAAGATTGCTCCACATGGTCTGGTGTCTCATCACACACGTACACACTTGGAGAAGCAGATTTACTAGCACTCTCACTAGTAGCTAAAACCCCATTACCATTCCTGTTCACAGTACTCTGTACATCACTGGGAGTCGGATTGGCATCTACCCCTGATTCCGCTATCGTCACGGGACCCTCCGGTTTTTCCGCGGAATTGGAAAGCCGGAGGTGTTGTCCCTAGCCGTCGGCGACTAGGTACTCACGCAAGCTCGGTACGGCTGCCTTCGCAACCCGAGCTCGCGTCATCAAATCTTCCGTCATAGAAATCAACTGGTGTCCCGTCGTGGAACGCTCCACTTGCACAATCTTTTGTGCATCTAAGTTTCTAAAACAGATCATGTCCTCAGCAAAATCCACAATGGCTCCTAGTTTACGTAGTGATTCCACACTCAGTAGAAGAGGCACGCTTCCGTGGTCCAGGCAGTGCACCTTCAGGTTGCCCGGGGAGTCGTTGGCGGCAATCTTGAGGTGCACCGTGGAAGCACACTGGTTCTCGGACCCGTTTCCGAAGCCAAATATGGGGCGATCTTGAAGATCCACGGCCGACACCCCGTTGTGGCCGTGCTTCTTCTGATTTGAGGGTCATGATCGCTTCCATCGCAGGCACTGACGCGAGGGTGCGAGTTGCCCCTCCATCAATCACTGCCATCCCTTTTCGCACTGCCTCTGTGGTTGAGAGGCCGGTGGCGTAGGCTTCCTCACGTTCCAGGTCGCTGTAGCATATGAACGAGGATGTTGCATCAACTGACTCCGTGACCTTGGCGCTTTGTGCCGGTTGTGGGCAGTTGGCCACACGGTGGCCGAGCTTCCCGCATCTCAAGCAGGTAAGCTGTGAATCGTCGCGGGGTCCCAAGCCTCGGCCTCGACCTCCGCCTGGATTGCCACGTCCTTGGGGCCGATAGTACTGCCTGGACAATCGGACATTGTGTTGCCTGGCCCTCGCTGCTCGTAGAGTTCGCTTTGCCTGGTCCATGGCTGCCAGGGCGGATTGAGCTTCGTCCTCCGCCCCAGCCCACATCGCATGCTCTTCATCGTTGAGTTCCTGTTCAGGATCGAACTCCACATCCTCGTAGGTCTCCGTCTCGTCCTCGTCCCCGGGAGCTTCGCCCCAGAAGCCGCTCTGGCGGCCTCCGGCATCTCGACGTCTTTGGCCATCCTGGCCCGCCCACTGGTTGCGCAGTTCCTGCGCAACCTTCTGCAGCCCAAAATCTCCTCCCAAAGCAGCCAAAATCACATTGCGTTCTCCTTGGTCAAGTCCTGAGTCCTGCAGAAGATACCATCCTTGCACGAAGTCCGGGATGAGCTCCGGCACGGGTGGCCGACTGTCATAGGAGCTGGTATGCCACGCTGGTGGCGACCACTCGCAGGACGTAGACCAGTAGTTGTTGTAGCTGCCGTAGTAGGATCCCCACCATTGATTGTTCCCCCACCAGGATTGCTCCGGTCGCCACTGCGACCACGGGTCGTCGCCGTCTTGGTCGGGATCATCTTCATCATCCTGGGCTTCGTTGGTCGGGGCCGCTGCCTGGACCTCCGTCGCTGCCTCTGCGCCGTTAGCTGTAGCCATGGAGTCCCAGCTGGATCGTCTCGATCCCCCCGTGCCGTGACTCGTCGGCGCAGCTGACGTCTTTCCTCCATGGTGGGGAGTGACGCGCTGCAGGGCCTGGCAGGCCCGAAGGTACACCTCGCATTTGCGGGTGATATAATCATTCATGCTCTCGTTGGGACGTCGCCGGGAGTTCTTGAAGTATCTGTTCAAGTGTTCCGTCAGATCAGAAACCAATGGTTTCCCCAAGCACGCACGGAGGTGCCGCATCAGTTCCTGAACTCCTCCTTGATGTGACACCCAATCGTGTCGCTTCCCAGCCACCAGGCGCTTTGCCGCACCTGTGAGTTCCGCCAGGAGCTTGGGGCCACACAGATACCTCTTGTTCATCGCTATAGACTGTTCCCATATCATCGCCGTCTCTTCGAATTCCTGGAAGGAAGAAGCCTCTCCATTCCAGATAGGCACTCCATCCTTGGAGCGTGAGATCTCTGTCATGATCTCCTTGCACACTTCACCGAACTTGTGTCCTGCTAGGGGAGCCGATCGCCTAGCAGTAGAGGTCCCTGGATCGTTTCGAGCCTTCGGAGAATTCCAAAGGCTCCGCTACCATGAAAGTCCGGTAGCTCGTGTGACGTCTGGAGTGCCCAAGAGGTACGAACAGCTTGTGGAAACAATCGAGCGGTCGAAATGGCCCGGCGAACAGGGCTACTACGGACCTTTTTGCTTCTGCTTCAGCCTGAATCGTGACTGCGCCGGAGGTTCCTTGATGATTCATCCAATCGCATTGAGAGACTCATCAACACGTGATTTCACGTGCAAACCCTAAACCCTAATCCTTAAACCCTAATCCCTAAGCCCTAGACCCTAAACCCTAAACCCTACCTTAACCCGGAATAACCTACCCTTTTAAGGACTTATATAACGAAACAATATTCAGGAACCCGAAAAAGGTAGGTCCTTCAGGGTTAAGGTAATCCCTACTCCCTAAACCTTAAACTCAATATCCTAAACCCTAATCCCTAATCCCTAAACCTTAAACTCAAAATCCCTAAACCCTAAACTGAAGAAACCAGACCCGAGTCTGATGGGCTTGAGTTCACGAGTCAGGAGTTTGGGGTTTAGGGGTTTAGGGGTTTAGGGTTTAAGGATTTAGGGTTTAGGGGTTCAGGGTTTAGGAGTGCCGGGCTAAAGGCTGGCCGCCCCTTCGCACTACCCGAAACCCTAAGCCCTGCATTATGGGTTGGGGTTTAGGGTACTACCCGGAACTCTAAACCCTAAAATGGGTTTAGGGTTTAGGGTACTACCCGGAACTCTAAACCCTAAATGGGTTTAGGGTTTAGGGTACTACCCTAAACTCTGAACCCAAAACCACAATCTCCAAGGCTCAAAGTTTTTGCAGCAGCTGCGGACGCATTCGGAGATCCATGACCAGTTCTGCTTTCAGTGGCTGCCTGCTCTGGGCAGGTGCCGTTGGGACGTTAAGAAGGGTGGTCATATACAAGCCTGTAGAATACCAATATAAGTCTTAAAGGGTTCGATACCCGCATTACGAATATATTATAATAAGCCCAAAACACTTCTTCTAATTATGAAGACCCTCTATTATAGAGTTTCACAGGGCCTTGTACGAGTTCAGGGTTTAGGGTGTGAGGGTTAAGCATGCTTTGGGCTTAGGGTTTCAGCGTTTGAGGTGTGAGGGCTTGAGGGCTAGGGCTTACTTGTGGAATCTCGGTCTTTGTTGCAGGGACACCAAAATCAGAGCAACGAGGTTTGAGACATTTTGCGGGTCTTCTTCTTCCAGCATTTACAGGGAACTCCAGAAAGTTGGAATATGGTTTCATGGTAGGATACCCTATAACGTACCATAGAAGGGTTAGGATAATCATATTCCAACTTTCTGGCTTTTACCTTAAGTACCCTGATATAGTACCCTAAATAGTAGGATCCTCATTATAAGGACCCCAAAACAAGGTACCCCCCCCGTATTTTCGGAAACTCCCATTTTTGCCTTAAGGGATCTTGAAGGGTTACTGTAAGGGATCTATAGGGTTCCTTTAAGGGATCTATAGGGTTTAGGGGATCCAGATTTAGGGTTCAACCCAGAGGACCAAAGATCCGGTCTCTTTGCCGTCTGCGGCGGGGGGATCTGGATTTAGAATTGGGGTATGGGGTTTAGGGTTTAGGGTTTAGGGTTTAGGGTGAGGGCTTGGTGTGGAGGGCTCAATACAGAGGTCGGAGCCTCTTTTTTTTAGATTCTGGGCACCGCGTAGCTGGTCTGATACGTTACTAACAGCCTACCACTATATACCGTTGTGAAATTTCCCTGTCTTGAAGTGCCGTGTTGACATGTCCTCATGCGAGCGTAGTCTTTTGAGTTAGATCTGAACGCACCCTGTACGACAGACGTCTTGGGCTCAGACCAAAAAGTGCGCTCGTTGTGTGGTTGGACACTCACTAATCCAGTTCCTGCTTCAAACTGGTAGCGGAGCTGTGAGGACAACCACTAGTGTTTCACCCCCGTAGAGCCTGTGGTCCGGGGTCCGTTGGGTAGAGTAGTGATAGTCGCGGCGCAAAGGCCCCTTCTATCTGAAGCCATGAGCGTGGCAGGTTTGCGTTACCAGCCCAATCTCTGGTCACAGAACCTGAGCCCTGCAGAAACCAAAAGCGGGTCGTACATATACGACGGTACGGCTGCTGGCTTCCACGATTGGTGCTTCCGGACACAGATCCGCGTGCTGCAACATAAGGAGAAGCAGCGGCGTGAAGCTCTTAAGGACCTGCGATTTGCCGAGTCGGCAAGGGCCAAGAGCGAGTCACCAAGGAAGTGGCGTGGCAGGGCAAGTCAGGGGACCAGTGCATCGCCCACAGATGGTGATGGAAGCAGCGGTATACCCGCCAGTCCGTCCAGCGCAAAACGGACTAAGCCCGCGTCCGAGGCAGAAGATGAGGATGCGGAGTCATTGCCGTCGCACCCCAGCCAAGTGGCGGGCGACGATGAGCAAGAGCCGGACACAGATCCGGCGGTGTACACCTTGCAAGACATTAAGGACGAGTCGCTTGATATGAGCGAATGCGTTAGCAAGATCTTGGAGGGTCTCCGAGGAGACGCCTTTTGCATCGCTCGCGACGTCGGCCTGGAACGTCTGCTTCGCCATGATGGCGTCGACTACCTGATAGAAGAAATCAGGAGGCAAGCCTTCCCTCTTCAATCTGAAGAGGCGTCCGAACTTTTCCGTCAGGGACAGCTCCTGACGGGCCCACTTGCAAAGCAACCCGGCGAGCCTATGTTGTCTTACATAGCCCGCCGAAAGCGGTGGTGGTCGACCTTGCGTGAGCTAGATCCTGATATCCGCCTTTCTGAAGCAATGAGGGCTAATCTCCTTGTTGAGCTTTCAGGGTTGGAAAGGAACGAACAGCTAATGGTCAAGACCGCCGCCCGCGTACACACCGTGGATGAGTACGCACGCGTCCTTGTTCAGCATCACTCAGTGGTGCACATGAAGGAACGTCTTCTTACCCAGAAGGACCCTAGTGGCCCAGGTAAGACCTGGAGACGTTTCGACGCTAAGCCACAATACCCTAAGTTTGGCTATATGGGGTATGATGGTAGTGCCGCAGAGTATGGTCACCAGGAACAACAGGAATCCGCGGAAGGCTACGGTGACGGCTACGGCGAAGAAGCATACCAGGCCACAGCGTCTGGGGGAGATGATGCGGATGAATGGATTGATGATGAAGATCTAGCATTGCAACTCAACGCCTATACGGCAGTGGCATATGAAGCTGAGATTGACGATTTGGATGATTCCTATGCCGAGTCAGTTCAGCTTGCGTACGCGGCACAGACCGCCTTTGCCCAGGCGAAAGGAAAAGGTAAAGGGAAGAACAAGGGCAAGTCCTCCGGAAAATCCGGAGGGAAAGTCGTGCGTAGCAATTTGACCATCGCTGATCGTAAGGCCAAGTTGGCAGAGCTTAAGGCAAAGAGTAGGTGCCTGAAGTGCGGTGTGATCGGCCATTGGGCCGGAGATGCTGCCTGCAAGTTTAGCGGTAAGGGCAATGGCCCCAAGGGCACCACAACCCCAGCACAGTCTGGGGGAACTGCCAACGCAGCCGCAAAGTCGGCGACGCCGAAGCCTCAGGCGTATTTCGCCGCAGTGGAGGAGGATGACACAGAGTGTGTCCATCTGTCGAATGCGAGCGCTGGTAGGCTCGAGGGTTACCCAGCCAACCTTGAGCTGACTCCCTCAAAGACCAATACCGGCAAAGGCCGCGGCAATGAAACCCTCTTCTCACCGCAGCTTCGGCGCACAGCCGCCGCTAGGATCATGCGTGACAGCCCGCCTGAGGGTTCCGATCGCGTTTTCTCCTTTGGTCAGCATAAGGGTCTGACTTATGAGCGTGTCTTGTATACGTTTCCTGGGTATGTTCTTTGGGGACGCACGCAGAAGTGCCCATCCATAAATTTGGCCGATTTCTTGGATTGGGTCACGGAGTACTTCGATGTGCGTGATGATAACCCCATTAGCATCACGAGAAGGGATGTTCCCCTCAGCCAGGAACCCCCGCCTGAACCCTTTCAGCCCGAGGTTCGCCTCGCCGCGTCAGCTGCTTCGTCCAGCGAAGGCCCCCGGAAATGCCGGGGAGGTTGCAAGGAGTTCAACAAGTCGGGGAGTAACGCATACATAGACATGCGGACCTGTAAGAAATGCGGCACCGTCACCAAGACGAAGAAAGAGAAGCCTGTCATAGATCAGGCCACATGCCCCCACACCTCCACCGAGAGGTCGGGTAGCAGTAGGAAGACCTCCCGCATTAAGTGCAAGCTTTGTGGGATGCTTCTAGATGAGCAGCCGCAGACCGAGCGAAAGGCTAGGGATGACGCAGCCACAGTGCTGCGGGAGTCCAACACCCTGGACTTCGATCTTCTGCGCAGCATAGTCGGCAGCACGGGGGATAGCCTCCCCGTAGAGGTAGTAGTTCCGGCTATTGCCCAGTTTCAAGAGACCATAGAGGGTCACTTCGTAACCGAGCCCGTGATATCCCGCGGTGACCTTCTCGCATACCTGCAAGAGGCCTTAGACGATCACTCTGCGCCATCGACCAACAACAGTTGGGAAGTGGCGTCGGCGAGATCGCGCTCCTCGAGGGCCTCCGCGACGAGGCACGCCTTCGTGGCTTTCACTGAGGGGGTCACAGATATCCATCCGGCTTTGGTTGATTTGCCCGTAGTAAATATCTACGAGGATAAGCACGTATACGCCGTGTTGGATGAGGGCTGTAACTCGACTGTTCACGGTAGCGATTGGATAGCAAACGCGGCGGGGAAACTTGCGAACTTCGGTTACAGCACGAGGTTTAAACCTGAGGGCAATCGTACCTTCAAGGGTCTTAGCGGTGCTACCGAAACCCTGGGTAGCAGGACCATACCTTTCTCTATAATGGGATTGGAGCAGGACTTGAGAGTTCCGGGCGTCCTTGATTCACATGAGATTAAG